ACACACACACACACACACCCCACACACACAACTTGGCGAATTGGTAGTCATCCAAGATAAACCCTTCTTCTCAAGAATCTTTGTTATTTTTATAACTGAACTCATGAAAATCTTTTCATTTTACAGCCCTGGGAGGTTTAGGCTGGAATTTTTAATTTCTAATCTCATACCAGTGTGAAAGGCCATGTGGAAGCTACGCTGCTAGGATCACTGTGGTGAGACAGAGACTGCACATCAGAAGGCTGCCCTTTGGGTAGATTCTTGGGGGCTCAGAGAAGCACTTAAGCCTCTAGATGAGTATCTCCAAGTCAGCCTGAATCCTGATCCTCCTCCAGTCAGACATCCCTAATCTAAACCTCCTATTTATATCCACCACAGTCTCAACATTCCAGATGGACGGACACTGAATTCATTACACTAATCTCCCACCCTTCAAATCCTGTCCTAACTCCCCAAAGGACACCTGCTGAACATTAAACCCAGATTGAGTTTCAAAGCCCAAAACCTACAAAATAAGGAGAGGTTAGATTTTTCAAAGCTCTTGCCGATAAGCTTTTTCGTGTTCTTTCAAGTTTTCATGAATGGTGTCAAGTTCTCCCAATGATTCTCCTATCTGCTTTTGGCTCTCCGGGCATCTGAAGTTGCCAACAATCCACATGGTAGGAAAAGTTTAACCATGTAAGACAGCATGGGGCAGATAAAACACATATGCAAAAATATAAAGCAAAGGGTTACTGTTTATTCTTAATACTTACATGTCCATATTAGATTTTTCATATCAGTATTAACTGTTAGTAAAGCCACATACATCAGCATATCAAATAGACTTATCTAGCCATTTGCCATGTGAAAAACACATAGCAACATGACAGAGCCTTGTATAGTGCCTGGTATACACAGACATACATATATTGTTGAATTAATCAGTAGCGTTTGACATCTGCTAAACAGTCATCCATTGAAAAAATGAAAAGCTCCTTCCCTTCCTGGTCTTCACAGAGATTTCTAGATAACCTTTATGCTTAAAATGCCATTTCCATGACTTCTCTATGCTGTATTTAATATGCAAGTAATACATACAAATATTAGAAAATTGTTAAGAACAGATAAAATAAGTACATTTAATTACTCTCAAATCACCTAGAGATAATAATTCTTTTAAAAAAAATCTTCTCCTGAGGATATGTTTTATTGATTTGAGAGAGAGAGAGAGAGAGAGAAACATTAATTGGTTGCCTCCTTTATGTGCCCTGACCCAGGATAGAATTCACAACCTTTTGGTGTATGGGACGACACTCCAACTAACCAAGCCATCCTGCCAGGGTGAAATAGTAATTTTTATGTTTGTTTATACATAACCTTCCAAATTTCTAATGCCTATCCATTCATATACACATGGAACACGTGTTTTTAAAAAATAAGGATTATACAAAAAACCATAACATTGTTTTAATGCCTCATTTGGCATTTTATTGTATACTAGAGGCCTGATGCACGAAATTTGTGCAGGAGTAGATCTTTGCAGGCGTGGCTGCCTCGATCCCTCCCTCGCAGCTGCGGCAGCTATAGCCCCGGCTTCATCCCGGAAGGATGTCCGGTCTAATTAGCAGATTATGCTTTTATTATTATAGATTTCTACTATAATTTATTTTATCACCTTATATTGTTTAGACATTTATAATACAACTAGAGGCCCAGCACACAAAATCATGTGCGGTTAGGGTCCCTAGGCCTAGCCTGCAATCAGGGTCATGTTCTGCCCGTTCGCCAGTCCCCAGTTCCACCCCGCCACCACCACCAATCGATTGGAACTTGAGGGCTGGGAGGAGGGACCAAGAGGTCTGCCTTCCACCCGCTCGCCAGTCCCTGCTGCGCCACTCACCCCAGTTCCTCCGTTAGACATCTCCTGATCAATGGGAGACTGCAGGCCGAGGGGAAGGACCAAGCGGTCTGCCTTCCTCCCGCTCCCCAGTCCCCAGTTCTGGATCACTGCCACCACCAATCAATCGGAGCCTGAGAGCCAGGGGGAGGGACTAAGAGGTCTGCCTTCCGCCTGCTTGCCACCAATTGATTGGAGCCTGGCTGCCCTGATCGGGGTGTTGGGGGCAATATGGCCCAGATCAGGCTAGTTCGCTGGCCACTTTGGGTGTCATAGCAACCGGTCATTAGGTTGTTATGGTTGTGACGGCGTTACAGTCTCTGGCTTTA